GAGGCGCGGCCGGTGGCGAGAGGCCGAGCGTAGCCGACACCTGGGACGCACGCCCCGAGCCGCTGCTCGGGCCGGGAGCCAGGGCGTCTGGCTTCTGCTCGGGCGGGGGCCGCCCTGTTCTGGCGGCTCAGCGGTGATCTAGGCGGAGTTCCGCCGGTCCCAGGCGTCCCTCTGGAAGCACTGCCCGGGCAGCCAGGACACTGAGGGAGCGCTTTCTGGTGACTGATTTGTTGTTGTGTTTGGAAGCTCTGCGCTCGGGAAGAGGTTTCATTTCCGAGACTCTTTGGTCTGAGACCAGCAGTGAAACGGCATGAAAGAGTGACTTAAGTGCCAAAACAGAGGAGCAGTTATATTGTATTCCACAAGGACTGCTCTTGAGCTTTGTCACAGGCTTCCTGGTTTGCTCCTTGTGTATGTTTGTTCTCACTAAATGTAAATTAGAAATCAATGTGCACATGTATGAATGCAGCCAATGGCTGGATTCAGCTCTTTTGAATGTCAGGATGCAGTAAGCAGTACATGCTTCTCATGCAGAAGAAATTAAAACGTGGAAAAGCAGATTGAATACAGGTTGTTCTAGAGATACACAACAAAAACTTGGTAAAGCGGTGAAAAGGGTACGAGAATTATGTACAGATGTATGCTCTTGCATCTGTTACAAAGATTCAGGGTGTTATAGCTGGTAGAAAGAACTCTATTGCCTGAGGTTATGAATTCAAAGCTGACCAGAGGTAAACTGTTGTCTATGCTGGATGCTTTTTCCTTCTTGTGCTTTCTCTTGCTCCTGTCAACTGTTTCAAAAGAATAGAGACAGAGGCAACCACTGGAGGAGCACATAGTTAGAACAACAATTAAGTTTCTGTATTTAATTTTTTGTGAACTACTAGCTTGAAGCTTAGTATTTGTGTTCATACTGGAAAACAGGAACACCCCTGAGCCCAAACTCCTGACTGTTTGAGCCTTGTGAACCATTGTAGGAGTTGTCACATGCCTTATTGTAAACTACAGTATAAGGAAGCCATGGCTCTCTTTTCATTGATGTCTTCTAGCACATCAAGCAATTTTTTGGCAAGATGTCTGGGACGCTGCATGACTTACACCTATTCTCAGTTGTTAAATCATCACTCCTCCAGTAGGAAACTGCCCTCTATTTATTCCAAGCATACAAGTTCCCTGTTTTCAGGAGTGTCAGATAACTTGTGTACTCTAAGCATATCCACTGAAAACCAAAACCACAAACTATCAAAAGCTAAACAGAATAATGATGACTTTCTTTACTGCAGGTCGGCCAGTATCTCTGGAAGCTCAAATGTGGCTCCTGGCAGTAATCGTCGTCTTCAGCAGACTCAACACCAAGTTGATGAGGTAAAGGTCTAGTCTGATAGTAGTGTAATCATTTTCCTGTAGGAAAACTATATAACTTGAAGGGATATTTTGGCCAAAGCAGGTTTTCCTTCATTATGTGAAGGGGAAGTGTAGTATCTTGCTTTATTGTATTTGTGTCATCTTAACTCTTAAAAAGGTAAAAAAAACCAGAGAAATCCATTCAGATAGAGTGGGGGAGTAGAGAGAAGTTACCGGTGTCCAAACATTAGCTGCAAACTTGGTGTTTGAAGATTTGGTATCAGTAAAGATAAAAGCCTTTGTTCTTGCAGAGAACAAGCTTTTTTCTCATTAGTAGCAATGAAGGCTGACCACCAAATATGACATGTCCAGATTTCTGGGGAGTCCAAAAGCCAGGCTGGCTACTGACAGTATTTTTTGACATGTGGTTGACTATCATGTTTATTTGCCTCAAAGCCTTCTGAAGTGAGTCAGTAATTATTTCCCAGGTTTAAGGGAATGCCAGCACAACTGGCACTACTGAGACTTTAAAGTAGTATTAGGGGCTTCCAGCCGCAGGTGAATTTCACAGTCTTTTTTAAGCTTATGACTGGATATACTACAAGGCAATAGCTCCTAATTTTGAGAACATTGAGTACCATGTGTTGCTATCTGTTGCGTGCAATTAAGTTCCGCTAAGGGTGATAGAACTAATAACTTACTGTAAGCATTAAACTGATGTAGGTGGTTGACATCATGAGAGTCAATGTGGACAAGGTATTGGAACGAGATCAGAAGCTGTCAGAGTTGGATGACCGTGCTGATGCACTGCAAGCAGGAGCTTCCCAGTTTGAGACCAGTGCAGCCAAGCTGAAAAGAAAGTATTGGTGGAAGAACTGTAAGGTAACCATGGCTTCTATACTTACATTACACAGTATTGCAGTTAACACTATTACAATCGGCATTTCAAAACGCAGAAGTAAAAGAGTGTTACATAATTTATAGCATCCTTTTTAAAAAACATGATGTAGTGGTTAGGTAGAGTAACCAAAAGCTAGATTACCAGCTGCGCTGCTTGATGCAAGACCCTGCCTAAGATGGCAATGAGCGGAGGGAAACACCTCAGTAATCTGAGGCCTTGGGGAACAGGAAGAAAAAGGCCAAAAAGGCATAGGTTGAGTTAATGTGCAGGAAGTATTAGGAAGCAGAAGGAGCTCATTCAGATTCCTGTACTTGTAGCTGTTGGCAAAGGTTGGAATCTTTGGTGAGCAGCAAAGACAGTGAATGATGCGGTATAGGGTAAGAGTAGAAATGGTGTTTAGTAGTTCTTTATTCCTGCTTGTATAGTCCGAGACAGGCTTTGCATGGAGGCACAATGGAAAGGAACCTGTTGGTCTGCTTTGCCTGTGTGCATAGCCTACCATCTCTGAGCAGTAATGGTGAATCAAGCTTGCTTACTGAAGAAGTTTTACTTGCTGCGTTAGACCAAATGGTGCAAAAGTACCTTGCAGGGGCTGCTTTCCTGAACCCTAAAGGCCAGTGAATGCTACTGCATGATTTGTAGTAAGTGTTGTATGGCTTTTTTCACAGATGTGGGCAATATTGATAGCTGTTGTTCTCATTATCATCATCATCATTATTGGTAAGTTTCCCCAAAATGGGGACTTCTTGCAGAGTTGGAATATATGGTGTTAATTTACTGATTTTTTAAACTGGTACAGTTTAAATAAAGCCAGGATACTCAAATGAAAGTATAGACAACATTAATTTGAAATAGCAGTGACTGCTTTAACAATCGTTGCCTGCAACAACTGGCAAACTGTGACCACGGTGGGAGCTCCAATAGCTGAATCTCAGATGCCTGTGCAGAGTGAAAATAGCAAGGACTTGGAAACCAGGAATGACCTTGGTTTTTTTTTTTTTCAAGCTGCATGTTGCAGAAGTAGAAATACCATATGCCTTCTGTGTCTGAGAACTGTTTTTCATCTGCCCCGGCTTCTTGCTAGGTGAATCCTTTTCAGTGTGGCAGTTCCAAGTGCACTGCTGTAGTAGATAGGCTTTTTTCAAGTAGAGACTTTGCTGCTGGGTGAAATGATACTAATGTTGGCTCAGGATAGCAAGCCAGAAACATATCATTCAGTCCTTGGTTTAAGTTCTCATGTAATCATCATGTATATCATGGGAGGACAAAGCTTAAGTTTGTGCTGTAATACAGTAACAAACACTGCAGTAACCGCTAGCAACAAATCCATAGGCCTGTGCGAGAAATACCGGTGTGCAAGCACAAAGGAAAACTGACTCTAGGAAAATCAAGCCTGGGAAACTCTTAAATCCCTCTACCTATCTCTAGTATCTTATTCTTAAAATGCAGGATTGTTACAGTGAGCGTCTGTAGGAGACTGTCCTTTGTCCAACTTTCTTCTTCTTTTTGTAGTCTGGAGCGTGTCTTCATGAGTTACAGGAAGAAACTCCGATCAACTGAAGGTGCCCATCTTCAGCCTCTCCACTTCAGACCTGCTGTATTTTCAGCCCACTTACTGCAGTTTAAAGCAAAACTATTTTGATTACTGAAATGTTAGCTAACTTCACCCGGTTGCCTTAAGACACTCCTGTCATAAATGACTAACCAGCACAGCCCACCACTTGCACAGTGCCTTGATAAACTAGGGCACAGGGCTGGTGAGGAGGATTTGGCTCCAGAGTTTCCACGGCCGGTGCTGCAGCGGCTCACAGGCTCTGTGGACGGTGTTGAGATTTATCCTCCTCACCTGCCTGCCCCTCCTCGGTGCCGTTGCGGGGGGCGGGCTCTGCACACTGCCCTCTGCCTTGCGGTCCCGAGGCTCTTCCCCCGGTACTTCCCAGCAGCCGCCCTGCTCAGCGCCGACGCTGGGCGCTCATGGGCGACGCCGCGCTGCCTCCGGCGGGGAGGCGCCCTTCCC